GCCAATCGTGGTAATGGGCACCCATGGTGGACAGTGTTGGCTGGAGCTTCCCGACTAAATCTAGCCTGGAAGCAGGAGTGGCATCCACTTCCAAAATGGCTTACCTCCGGAAACTCTATGTACGAATAGTGCTCAGGCTGTTCGTTCATAGGGTTGCTATGAGTCATCTACGACTCGACGGCATTAAACAACAATAACAACATACTTCATCCAATGTTCTACACAGAAGTACATCTGTGGAAAAAATTGCTGGAGAAGCTCAGTATCAGCTGTGTAAACTAAGCCTGGTGCTGACTGTGGAACAGACCATCAACTATTCATATCATATGCAAGTTCAAATTGAAGCTAAAGAAAAATCAAATCCCTAAGAACCAAAGTTTGACCTTGAGTCTATGCTAGCAGAATTTAAAGAATTTCTCAGAAACCAGTTTACAGCCTTGAATACTAATGAGTGAAGACCAGATGAGCTGTGGGTGCAATATCAAGATCATCCATGAAGAATACAAGAAGACAAAGACAGAAGAGGTACAAAAGACTAAGACGGATGTCACAAGAGACTGAATACTGCACTGGTGTGCCAAGAAGGCAAAGCAAAGGGAAGAAATTAAGAAGTTAAGGAGGTGAACAGAAGATTTCAAAGAGCAGCTTGGGAAGACAAAGCAAAGTACTATAATGAAATGGACCAAGGGCTAGAGTCAGAAAATAATGGGTCAACTCGTTTGGCATTTCTTAAGCTGAACAAACTGAAAACAATTTTAAGCTTCTAGTTGCAATACTTAAGGATGCAGAGGGCAGAATGCTGAATGATCAAGGAGGCACCAAAAGATGATGGAAGGTGTACACAGTCACTACAAAAAAAAAATAAAAGTGTGTCCACACAGAAGAATTTCATGAGACAGCATATGATCAAGAGTGCTATAGTGATGAATTAACTGGAAAAAAACAAGGCCCAAGAAATTGATGTAATACCAATTGACATATTTCAACAAACAGATGCTGCCCTGGACATATACACCAGATTATGACAAGAATCTGGAGGACAATTACCTGGCCAACTGACTGGAAGAGATTCGTATTTAGTTCCATTAAAAAAAAGATGACAGTTGTTGTTGTTATGTGCCATCGAGTCGCTTGTGAC